GCTCATTTTATAGTTTACAGGAAAATGTGCAATCTTTGTTTACAACACTACTTAGCCACATTAAACTTTGCATATAGTGTAACTCTTTCTTTATGCTTACAGTTTTCCTGTACCTTCATTAAACAACTTGGACTAAAATGGTCTTACCAAACCAATTTGTTTTAAACCTACCAACAAGATTACTGGACCTTGAAAACTTCATATATTTACACTATATATATATCTACACACAGATACACATACATTCTCTCTGAACCTTTCTTACACTATTTCTACATAGCTGTACAACAATTACATTCCCTTTTTATTCATTGGGATAGTTCAGTTCCAATAGAACCCCCCTCCCTTTTAGAGTTCTTTTAGCAGTCTCTCTAATCAAATGTACAGATTTGAATCAAATTTGCCTGGATTATTTACAGACATTCCTTTGGAAAAAGGGCCCATTTTTCCTTCAGAATGACTGTAAAGAAACCACAGTTTCCTATCTACACCATTTTAGCATTTGCACAACTGCATTTGCTCTCCATTCTCTGCAGAGTTTAAATTCTCTGATTCTCTTTTCTTAAAACACTTTCTTATCTCTAAAATAAAAACTGGCCTTGTTTCAGATATTACTCTTGTAAGTATGCTTAAGGACTTAGATTTCCAGTACTTACTGCCTTTTTCTCAGTTTCTACCACAAGGCTTTCAATCTTATCTTTTACCTGCCTGCTTGTCTGGGCCTGATCCTGTTTTCCTTTTTCTGCCTGCTTGCCTGGGCCTGATCCTGTTTTCCTTGCTAAATGGAAAGTGTCTCCTTTCCACAGACTCAGGATTTGTCCCATTCTTTAGCTTGCAGGCAGCTCTATACTTACAGAACTGCACCCACAACTCCTCAGGATTTCCCCAATCCTTTTCTAACATTTCTCTATCCCATTTTGGGTTGCCCCAACCTTCTTGGGCAAACCCTTTCTCCATACCACTAAAATCCATATCTATCATGAAAGGCTTCATGTTGCTGTATGTGAACCAATACCACAATCCTGCCGACTACGCCAATTTCTACAGGTGAACCCCTGACTCAGTTCTCCCTTACACAGGGCATAAGCAAGTCCAAGCAAGCTTTCTAGTATTAAAGAGGGCCTTTTTCAGAGGGTCTCTTTATTTAACTGAAAAGAACAAAACAAAAACAAACAAAACCTTCATCAGCCATGTCACAGGAAAGCCACCACCTCTTGGCTAATCGGTCTTATATCTTGCTCCACTAAAAAGGGTTGCCAGGTGTCCGATATTCTACTGGGCAGTCAAGTTTTGGGGCCCTCTGTCCGGTAAAGAAAATCCAGAAAATACCAGACATGTGCAATGTCTGGTATTTCCTGGATTTCTCGCTGGGCGCTGGACGGATGCCTGGAGGGGGCTGGGGCAGCGGCTGGGAGGCAGGGCGCGATGGGCACTGGGAGCCCTGGCTGCATCTGATGCCTTGGGGAGGAGGAAAAGCCCTGTCCCTGCTCCTGAGCACATGATGGGAGCAGCAGCCGGACCCACTCACGCTTCTCAGGACCGTGCATGGGACTGACAGCGCCTCAGGATCTGCACGTGCCCGGGTCAGTCCCACCCTTCCCCTTCCCCCAACCGTTCCTGACCAGCTCCACTGCCCCCGATCCCTTCCTGGCCACTCCTGCTTCCTGCTGGCCGGTTCTTCTCCTCCTAATCTCCCCTGGCCAGCTGCGCTGTCCCTGACCCCTCCCCCATCTCCTTGGGCCAGCCACCCTGCCCCAACTCCCCCTCCCCATCTCCTCCGGCCAGCTGCGCTGTTCCCCCTCCCCCATCAAGTGTGTCTGGTATTTTTTCTAAACCTACCTGGTAACCCTAGCCACAGAAGACTCTCAAGACTGAATTCTCTGCCCATCAGAGTCCCTAACTCCAGGCATTTGACCAGATGATACTAGATCCCCAACAATACACAGGACTTTTCTGAGCAAGTCCCTTTTAGCCCCCCAGGAGGTCCCACACTCAGTTAGTTCTCCTGGGGTACTGGGGTCTTTTGCCAGAGAGCACATTCTCTCTGGACTAGTTGCTCCCTCTGTGAACCTCTGCTGTCCTAGGAGGCCACACTGGGTGTAGCTTCCTAACAACCTCCCTCCCTCAATGAATCAGTCAGTCTGACACTCTCTCTCTCTCGCACACACACACGCTCTTTCCATTTTTTCCCTTATTTTCTGCCAGTTTTATATGTTTTGTTATTTAACTTACAAAAAATAAATGTAGGGGTTATGAAAAGTGACATAATGACAGCACTGGAAATTGAAATCCCATTACTCCACAGGTCAGGCAAAGTATAGCCACAACAGTGCACACTTGCCCCTGAAAGTATTAACAATGGGTCTCCATACTGAGTTGACAAGCTCCCCTCTAGCGGTGAGCAGAAACTTCAGTATTCATGGTACATTCAGTACTAAGCCACTGCTGAGACTGTCTGCTGGGGTGCTAATTAGCTCTACTAGTGATGTTTTAATGATGTAAAAGTCGGATGTAATGTAACAGGACTCGGACAACTATCTCATTCAATGTAAGCCACTCAGTGGAGATTCAGACACAAAACATGAGTATGATTATTTGCATTTATGTAACACATTTTCCATCTGAATACACATGCAAAGCACAATGTGA